TCCACCCGTCTGACGGCTGAGGCAGGCGTACACACGCCCAGCATGGTTTGAAAACCAGCGAGGCCGGGTTTGAGCCGTGCTCAGCCATGGAGGATCTGGTTCCCTTTGTTGCCGGGTTACAGGGCCGGTCTAATGAGTTCTGCTTTAGAACATTGAGTTCTGCCTTTAGAAGGAAACGGAACTTTCTAATCAAAGGAGAAGAGCTTCAGGTAAAGCATAGGTCCGTTTATTTTAATATTTTAAACTTATATTGTCTGTTAGACATCTAAGCGGAATGATCAAGTTTACAATTGAAAAGCCCAAGTCTAGATTTCAGAGAAGTCCTGTCTGGAAATAGAAATATTTGCAAACTGATGCGGACCAGCAGACGGTATAGTGGTTGTCACTGGAGTCCCAAATGGTCAACTGTGTTTAAAACTCTCACCAGAGGCGTGTGCACGCATACTCAAGATCCCGAGAGGAGAATGGAGGAGAAGGGATGCAGTGTGGCCATAGCTCTGCGGGGTGATTTCTCGCTTTCCATCTCTCTGTCTCTCTCTGTCTCTCCAGTGAGAGCATGCTTCCTATACCAAAAATCTTTCTAAAGAAATAAAAAAGATATAAATTCACCCATGAATCTGGTGCCACCCCAAGGTAATGCGTGACCCCAGTGGAGATCCGAGTGCTGAGCCGTGGTCTAACCAGGGCTGAGGTGGGAGAAGAGCTCGAACCCGCGAGCACGGCGGCACCAGGCAGGTGCATTGTAACTCACCTCATCTCAGCGATGGCTCTGAGCAGGGTTCCCACCCTACCAATGCGGGAACTGGAGCACAGAGGCCTCACCCCTGTCTGTGTTCGGACGAGGTCACTGGCAGAGCCAGTGCAGCAGAAGGGACTGGGAGAACTGACCATGAGGGAGGAGGAAGCCTGGGGAGAGGGGTGTGCTGAGGGACAAGGGAAAAAGTGTCCTAGGAAACACCTGCCAGAGCAACGTGGGCAAGAACCAAGAGCCGCCATCGCATTCCACGACAGTGCTGGGAGCGACGGTCTAAGCGGAGTAGTCGCAAAAGGGGGGGGGGGGGGGGCGGTGAATGCCTCGAGAATAGGACACCCCCTTGCTAAATCTTACAGCTCAAGAGAAAGAGGAAAAGTGGGTGATGATCAGAAAGGAGCGTGGGGCCCAGGGAATTGTTCAGTTCATCGCTTTGCCTTAAGATGGACACGCCAACAGGCCAGAGGAGAGGCGGCCTAGAAAGCAGACGGCCTGTCACCAGGAGGAGCCCAGACAGCTCATTCGTGATAACGAGGGGGAAAGCACAGGTGCTGGTGAGCAGGTACGACGGGAGGGCGTTGTGTTCTTCCACTTACCCTATATTCTTGTTTCTTTATTTGTTTATTTATTTTTAGTTTGCTAGAGTGTGAGTATGTTTGTCAGAGAGAGAAAAAGAAGTGAGAAAGCACTCCGGGGACAATGACCCCTCCTCGACCCCTCCCCCTACGTCCTCCTCTCGGGACCTTGGGCACCCAAAAGCTAAAGCGTGTGCTTAGTGTGTGTTTTCAAGCCACCGGGTCCAGGACTCGAACTGTCCGGTCAGCCATATGGGATCCTGAACCCCCACACCACCTGGCTGGCCTTTTATCCTAGATTGATAATGAACCAGGAATCAAGGGGGTGGCCTTGGAGGGAGGACGGGGGAGAGGAGGAGCGCCAGTCAGGGCAGGAGAAGCGCAGACCGCGGGCTGTGCCCGTGAGCCCCTGGGGACCGACGTCGCCCGTGACCACTTTCCACGTCTCCGTTTCCTGTTCGGCTCTGATCAGCGAGTTTCTTCCCGTTTGGAGAACACAGAATGATGGATTCAGAGCTGGAGTTTTCCACGCAAGTGCTAGGGAGGGGCTAGGGAAAGGGAGGTGAGTAGAGGCCCACCCCAGGGACAGCTGCAGAGACCAGGGTCACGTGATGAGCCGTGGTCTCTGCGGGGATAAAGGGTTATTGGAGTCCTGTGTGGGGCGAGCAGGCCGGAGGCGGGCAGGTGGCCAGAGGCAGGCAGATGGCCGTGAGAGTCAACGATCTGGAATGGGGATTATGGGGCAATGCAGCTGTCGGCCGCGGCAGTCTGGCGATGAGAATGAGTGCGAGGTAAAGGGGGGACGTGGTTCTTGCAGAGGACGAGGCAGCCACAGCCCGGGGTATAGACGCTGACTCTAGGCGTGCTGGGTTCACAGTTAGGACAGGACTGTGAGGGAGAGACGGAACGAGACAGAGAGAATTAGCCCTGGATCTGCAGGTCACAGCATTGTTAGAGGACATGAAAGTCAAACTTAGGGGGTTTAAAAGGAAGGCAGAATAGTCTAGAAGGGAGCATGGGGAACAGAGAGAGCATCACTCGACGCGTGGCCCAGGCTCCCCGTCAGGGCGTAGCAGAACAAGCAGCCGGAACCCGAGAGGGTGCCTGGGCAGCTGTTCATGAGGAACACGGTGTGGGTAAGAGCAGGTGCAGGGACCAGAACATGAGGCCGAGGGACATTTGCTCATGACGGTCCCTGTGATCCCCAGGGAGGGCTTTACCCTCGTGGCTGGCCAGGCCTGGCGGCAGGCTGGAGCTGGCACAGATCCCACGGGACCTCGTGAAGGCAGTGAGCCGCCGGCCCAAGGCATGCTGGGCGCCTCCTGGCCACCGGGTACTCAGCAGGCTTCGCTATCAGAGTGCAGGGCGACAGCCATTGGCCTCCTTCCTCATCCGAACTGCCACAACTTCCGTATGCCGGCAGATGCTCCTCCTCTTCAGTTCTGTCATGCTCGTCACCGCTCTGATTGTCACCCGTGCTGCTGTCAATGTCATCTTCACTCCCTCTTTCCTTCTAACCATTTTCTCCCCTGTCTCTTGGCTTCCACAAGAAAGCTGCTCTTTCTGTGCCCGGGGCAGGCCGGGCCTCTCTGCTCTGACAGGTGCGGAGGGCTCAGAGTGCTGGAGAGTCTTTTCCGTCTTGACTGTATTCGTCTATTTCTGGGTTTCTGAGGCTCCTGGTTCTTTCACCCCACGGGCATTTACTGTGCATGTACCATTTCCGACCTGGCAGTGCCCTGGGAGGGCGGGCTGGCCACACCTGCACACCGGGCGACACTCGGAAAGTGACAGGGTTTACAGGCGCACCGAAGCCGATCACAAAAGGTTTACACAACTAGAAATCGGCCACTGAGCAGCGGCGAGAGCGACTCTTGATATTTTAACTTAGTGCTGAAGTTCCAGTGCGCTTCATCATCAGGTTCATGGCTCCGTGGCTCAATTCCTGTTAGGTTAACTCGCCGTCACTTGAAAAGACTCTGGGGGCACCTCCTTCTCCCTACCCTTGGCGGTTTCGACATGCTCCCGCGCACCTCCCTGCAAAGCAGACTCTGTCCCCGTCCCCCTGTGTGTCCTGCAAAGCGCTCGGCAGCCCAGTGACTGCCCGGGCTGCTGACGTGGGAGGCAGTGATGTGGCAGGAACCCATCCGCAGTTCCTTCCCAATTCCCAAGGCAGGAGTCTCCATTATTTTCCATTTGAACAACTGTGGCCTATTTAACTACAGATAAATCCTCCATTTCCTTAGGGGAGAAAGTGGGAGAAGGAGAAATCCTTTGGTACATTTTCTTCAGGAAAAAAAAAAAAAAAAAAAAACTGTCTTTGTAGATTTAACAGTCCAGTACCTACCTAATCGTTTGGAGACTCAGAAGAGAACACCAAAAAGAAAACTTCAGTTAATAATTTGTAACTCGTGGGAACCAGCAGTTAGCGTAATGGCTATGTTGCTGGACTCCCACGTAGTCGACCGCGGTTCGTGTCCCGGACCCGGTGGCTTAAAACTCACGCCGGGCGCGTGTGCGTGCGTGCCCAAGATCCCGAGAGGAGAATGGAGGAGAAGGGATTGCGGCGTGACCATCCCCCCTGGGGGGTGATTTCTCGCTTTCTGTCTCTATGTCTCTCTCTGTCTGTCTGGCGAGCGCACGCGCCCTACAGTGAAAATCTCTCCAAAAAATAATAATAATAATTTGTAACTCGTAACTCTCTTCATTCACTCACAAGAGTCCTCGGGTGTTCATCACGTGTCGTGAACAGCTCCAGACAAAACACAGCTCCCTCCCTGGTGCACCTTACCATCTATTATGGGGGACAGGAAATAACCTAAATAGTCACAAGTAGAAAATATAATAAGAAGAGACAAGAGAAGCACCACCGTATCCAGCTTGCCCGGCCAGGGGGCGTGTGCAGGGCGTGCTCAGCCAGGGGGCGTGTGCAGTGCATGCCTGGCACAGGGCGTGTGCGGTGCATTGCTGGCCAGGGGCCAGGGGGCGTGTGCGGTGCGTGCCCAGCCAGGGGGCGTGTGCGGTGCATGCCCGGCACAGGGCGTGCTGTTTTAGATAGGACATGGTGCCCAGCCCGTGACCAGCCTGTGACCTGCCCGTGATCTGCACACAGCCACAGCGGAGGTGATCTGACATCCCCGTGCAGTTCACGGACAGGAAAACAGGCCCTGCAGCCTGGCACGGCCTGCTCACCGCCCCCAGGACGCTCCCCGAGGCTGACCTCCCGGCCCTGCCTCCTTCCTTTCCCGGCTCAGCGTGGGACAATGAGCACATGGCGTGTTTCAGTATGTCACGTGTGAAATCCTCCCTGTGTTTATGCAGTAGCTTCAGGGTCGAGAAGTGCTGATGAGGACAGAGAACGAGGGGAGATCTCAGTGGCCTGGAGGGTCTTATCTGATATATCTCGGCTGCAACTGCCTCCAGATGACGTGTGCTTTCTGCACAGAGGGCGGGACCGTCCTTGTCACGTGGCCTGAGCTGTGGCCCAGCAGGCTGAGAACGGGCCAGGTGGAGCGACAGAGTCCCACGGTTCTCCACGGAGCCGCGGCCCGCAGGGACGTCTTCCTCGGCCTCTGTCCTTACACTGACTGGTCACACTAGCCTGGGCCCCAGCCCGGCATCATGCAGCACTCGCCCTCAGGGGAGGAGCAGTGCTTCAGTGTTCGGGAAGTAACCTGCACTGGCTCGATCCATCTCCACGGCTACTTTTGTTTGACCAGGTATGAACCTGTGTGTGTGCGTGTGTGTGAGTGTGCGTGTGTGTGTGTGCGTACAAATCACTTTTATTCATTTCATCCAAGTCCCACGACAACTTATAGGAAAAGTAAGAGACTTGTCAATAATCCCGTCATGCTGATAGAGTCTCCAGGCCCAGAAGTTAAATAAATTTGCCAAATATAAGGGGACTTCAAAAATTTCATGAATCAAGGGACCAGCAGTTAGCGTAATGGCTATGTCGCTGGACTCCCATGTAGTCGACCGCAGTTCAAGTCCCAGACTCAGTAGCTTAAACTCACACCTGGTGCATGCGTGCATGCCCAAGATCCCATGAGGAGAATGGAGGAGAAGGGACTGTGGCGTGGCTATCCCCCTAGGGGGTGATTTCTCGCTTTCTATCTCTCTGTCTCTCCCTGTCTGTCTGGCGAGTACACAAAACCTCTCAAAAAAAAATTTCTTGGATCAATACAATTACATTATGAATCCACTTTGGTGAAAAAGGTTTTTGAAATCCATGCATCGTTTTCTCATAGTACAAGTTTCCATGGACTTTTTGAAGACCTCGTGTATATGGGGTTGGAAAAATGGGTTGAATCTTAGGGTTAGCGGAAGTCACTAGCTCGCTCTCTGGGGACATCTTTTAGAAGGATACGGACCTCGTGCATGGAAGGTGAGGCATGGTGACGTAATGACCTCCCACAAGCCATGCCTTCTAATCCAGCACCAGGAGGGCAGAATTGCAACGTGTGTGCTTTGGGAACCACGGCAGGTACCAATCCCTCTCTCTAGCAGACTCACACCTAAGGCAGGGATTGTGGGGACAATCGTTTCTAGTTTCTCATCTATGAGAGTCGTGGCGGTGACAATGAGTGTCTAAGTCAGTCCTGTCAAAGTGATCTCAAAATCGCATGCTGCATTACTCTGAAGTTTGCTGAAGCACAACCTGCACTCTTTCTTTCTTTCTTTCTTTCTTTCTTTCTTTCTTTCTTTCTTTCTTTCTTTCTTTCTTTCGGAGAGGTTTTTGCTATAGGGCGCATGTGCTTGCCAGAAAGACAAAGAGAGACAGAGAGACAGAAAGTGAGAAATCACCGCCCCCAGGGGGGATGGCCATACCGCAATCCCTTCTCCTCCATTCTCCTCTTGGGATCTTGGGCACGCACACACATGCGCATGGCATGAGTTTAAGCCACCGGGTCTGGGACTCGAACCCGGTCAACTACATGGAGTCCAGCAACATAACCATTACGCCCACTGCTAGTCCCAGCCTGGACTCTTTCAATACAGGAAAAGCCACACAGCCAGGGAGGAGACCTCTGCAGTCACCTACTTCACTCCAGGCATTCAGTAACTATCCGATAAGATCTTTCTACAGTGAAAGAAATGGCCAAGCACTGCGATCTTGTAGGGCTTTGTCCACAACACCGTTGACTTTGGTCGGATTTCAGACAATGTTGGATCAATCACACGTCTGGGGACATGCCAAGAGCCTAGGATTGTTTTAGCCATTTTAATGACCAGCTTTGCAAAATCATCCATTTCAGCCATGAAAGCAATCCAAAAGACCCACTGAGGGGTCAGATGCCACCCCTCGATTTATTGCTTTGCTCCCCCATCATAGCCACGCTCGCAGGAAAGGATCGCGACAGCCCCCCGTCGAGTAGCACTGCGCGCTCAAGGGTGTTCTCCAGCACCGCGCCGTCGGACCCTCGGGAAACATGCAGCACGCCCGGGCGGGTAATTCTGCTCTTTCCAGAGAAGGGCAAGAAGCTCTCTAGTTGGCTAATGGCCAATACGGGGACAGAAAGTAGGTCTTCATTCGCAGCTTAGTGTCCCTCCACGGTGGCCAGCCCCGCCTATGGTGTGCTCGGGGAACGGGGATCAGCCCTTGCCGCATGTGAAGTCACGGGCCTGAAAGCCCTTTCCCTTCTGATCATCCGCATCCCCCACTTGTGATTTTCCTTCCAGCTGAATTCTGAGCCGACGTGTCTGGAAGTGCCCTGGTTTTTGTGTCACGGAGAATGAGCTCATCTCCCTTGGACAGAGCCTTTTCCTTCCCGAACATTCCCTGTCATAAACCGGTCACCTGGTCATGCCCGCATCTGGGAGAGGGTACCAAGTCCTACCTGTCCTGGAGTAGCTGGGTTTGGCAAAGTCCTTCCGGGGAACACAAGCACTTGAAGTAAGGAAGGACATGGAGGATTTCTGAGGGCAGCTCCCTTACAGAGACGAGGCGAGTGACCTCCGCGAGGCCGGCCCACGTGGAGGGCAACATCACACGGCTCGTCACTTAGAGGCAGACGCACGTGCCGGCGTCTGATGTGAAGACTGAGCACGCGCCGCGCTGCCGGGTGGAGGGAAACGGGAAAATGCTGCTGTCTAGCTTAGCGTCCTTAGCGTCTGGTTAGGGGGGCTCGCGGCGGCGTGCTGGCTCCGGTGCCGGCTCCCACGTGGCAGAGTCCTCGGCCTGTGGTGTGGAAACCAGGCTGGCTGTGTGTGCCCAGCATCCTGAGAGGAGGACAGAGGAGGAAAAATGGCAGCATGGCCGTCACCCCTCGGGGATGATTTCTCACTTACCCTCTCTCTGTCTCTCTCCACTGAGTACACTCATTCTAGAGCAAAAAACTAAAATAATAATAATAATAACAATGAATCTAGTCATGGAGATGTAAAACAATTAAATAAGAGTGTAGCTTAGAAAATATTGCTAGCCAGTGGTCTATAAACTGTAACTGCTGGCATTTCCTGAAGGAACAGATCAGGAATTTAGTTTGAATCTCTGTTCCATCTTGTAGAAGAATGAGCCACTTTACCAAAAAAAAAAAAAAAAAAATGCTTTCAATGCAAAAGGAATAAAATAAGCATTGCGATGATTACAATGAATGAAAACTGTGGGTAAAATATAATAAAGCCAGGCCCGTTCCTAGGCGTGGATCACGTGGCCGGGAGAAATGGAGCCAGAATCACCGCAGAGCTTTCTAACGGCTTAAGCAGAGGAGACACAGCCAGTTTATTAGATCCAACTTGTCCATGAAACAAGCACCTGATTCCCTGTGCAGAAGACGCGTAGCCTTCCCCTTGAGGTGGGAGGGCTGTCTGTCCGGTAGGTGTTCAGGAAGGCCCCGGCTTTCGTCTGGCTCCTTCTTACACCATCGGTGTGACCCATTAGCCTAGCACCCACGGACACTTCAGCAAGGCATTCTCTTCGATCCAAAATGAAGCCACTGAGTGACCCAACACCTTGTGGTCTGGTGCCATTCACGGTATGCAGAAGCATGGATCAATGACTCGACCCTCAAGTGTTTCTTTTCAAGCGCTACTTATGGCCCTGTAAGAAGCATGGGGCTTGGCACCGGGATACCTGGCCAGAGCCCGAGTGTGGACTGTCTGTCCCGCCATCTGATGGCTTTCCATGAGCTCGGATAATCAGCCCCACAATGACGAGTCATTGAGGGCTTCTTTAAAAATGCAAGAGCCTGGGGCCACCAGATGGCATAGTGCTTACATCACTGGATTCCCACATGGCCAACCACAGTTCAAGTCCCAGACCGAGTGGCTTGAAACTCACATCGGGCACGTGTGCAGGCATGAACAAAATCCTGAGAGGAGAATGGAGAAGGGATTGTGGTATGGCCACCTGCCCTGAGGGATGATTTCTCGCTTTCCCTCTCTCTCTCTCTCTCTCTCTCTCTCTCTCTCTCTCTCGCTCTCCCCAGAGAGTACATGCACCCTAAAGCAAAAATCTGTAAAAAAAAAAAAAATGCAGGAGCCTAACAGAGTTCTTTTTAACAGCTTTGTACAGGGATAAATCACCCCCACCCAACTTCTCAAAGTCTTCTGAGTGAAAAGCAAAATAGAGATAGAGCTGAAATCAGGGGCTGGATGATTTAGGAATGGCCTGGAGCAGATGGGACATGACCTTGAACACAGGGAGGACTGAGGAGCTTCTAGGCCAGGAGCAAAGCACAGCACTTGGCAGGGTAGGGAGGTGTGGTGGGTGAATAAGAGCCGGGTCCTTGTGGGTCCATGTTCATGACTTTGAAGTCCAGCAACAATGGAGCAAATTTAAACACAATTCAGCTTGATCCTTTTTTGATCCTTTTTTTTTTTTTTAATATTGCCAGTAGAATGTTCTTTAATTTGATATGACAGCACTAGTTTGAGAGCATTTCGAGCCCATGAATTCAGTAAGGAGGTTTGTTGCGATGACCTTCGCTAATTTACCGAATGCCGTGGAAATCCCCTGCAGACTGTCAGCAGCTCCCAAACTAAAAACAATGACCGCACCGAGAAGCTGTCAGCTGCTCACAGTCGGAGAATGGCTCAGGTTGATGGATGGGCTCTGGTTTCAGAGGGGCTCAGAATGCTGCAGCCTGGCATGTACATACCAGGAGAAGGTGTCTGTGCTCGCGCATAGCTTCAGGGGACTGCCTCTCGCTTTCTTTCCTTCCACTATAAGGCTCTTGCATTCGCCAGACAGAGAGACAGAGAGAAGGAAAGTGAGAAACCACCCCCTAGGGAGGATGGCCACACCACAATCTCATCTCTTCCATTCTCTTCTCGGGATCTTGGGCACACATGCACATGTGCCCGGCGTGAGTTTTAAGCCACCGTGTCCAGGATTCAAACCACAGTCAACTACATGGGAGTCCTGAGACATGACCATTACGCCATCTGCTGGTCTCCTCTGTGTGATTTTCAAGCTGCCAGGTGTGGGACTCGAACTGTGGTAAGGGATGTGGGAGTCCAGCACTTAACCTCCATGGCAAATGCTGGCCTTTGAGAGGACTTTCTCTTATTGTCAATCAAGTGAAAATCGTAATCACATAAACGCTTAACTAGACTCACTGCAGCAGATCCTGTGCTTCACACACACTCTGTACCCTCATCGCCCTCACGGTTCCTCTGTGAAGAATGTCACTGGCCTCGATGTGCCAGCAGAGGCTCAGAAACCTGAACTTCCTCCAAGCCACACAGCTAGTTAATGCCCAAGACCCTGAGTGCG